CCGAATTCTCTACAAGATTACACCTTGTAATGGTTAAAATTAAATTTTAAAGAGCAACACAATTACCTTCCATTGCTTTTTCATAGCATGTACTTGTTTTTTAATTGTTAATCGTTCGGTTTTCAAAGAATTGAGATAGACAAGCTTAAAAACCTTTGATGTTAAAAAATTTTAAAGTGAAAAGAGTACTAATAATTGGTAAAACATTTGTATTGTACTATAAATGTACTCAGTGTAGCACATAGCGCTACATTTTTAAAAAAACGTGGGTACCGTTTTACACACGTTTTTGGCACACTTACGCCTTATTTTCTAACATCGTGTTAAAATCAATAAACAAAAGAAAATTAAATTTCTTCTGTATTTGTCACTCAGAGGTCAATAGATTATTTATACAAATATTTAATCGTTGCTTTTCAACTGCAATCTCAAACAACGAACAAACATAACTATGTAAAATGCGAAATTACAGTTTTATTTTTACTTTTAACGATTATAATTAATTTCTATTTTGAACCACACAACCAAAATCTAATATTGGTCTGGTCATAATTACTCAGAAGCCTTATAAATAAGTCTACATGAGTCATATAATTATGGAATATTATCGTGCTGTTGGATATTTTAAAACGATAATTATATTATTGTTTAAAAAATAATTAGAAAAAACGCGCGACTATACAAATTGTATATGTGTTCATAATCACTTAATTGACATCCGACTGGACATCATGTTCCAGTCGGATCAACAAATTCTATACTTTTATTTATTTTTTAATATTTCATCAATAAAAGTTGATGTGTACAAAAAGTGACGTGACTTCTGACATGCTGCAATTGAATTACAAAAGGTCAGTGGGACAACTGTATACAACATCTTCAGCAAGTAAGGAAACGAGTTTCTATTGTTCTTATTGTTAGTAACAATCGATCTGTTTCATTACTTTTTGAACATGTATATATTATTTTGTTGCTATCGGAGATTGACAATTGAAATGGTTTCGGTTGTCAACAGTGTTGAAAATTATCAGCTACTATTTTTACGGGTTGTATTCTTAAATAATCGATTTAATAAAATTTATTTTTGTACGTAAAAAAAAGGTCTTGATATTCAGTTTTGTATATAAAGCTCAGATTACACACCCAACGGGATAATAATATGAATACATGTGATTTATGATTTTATATGTGATAAATTATTAATATCATGGACCGATAGTCACGTAAATCATTGGGCAAATAGCTTATAGTGAATCACTTTCGAGGTCGATGGTATTGCATAATAGTGATTGTATATTAGGTGGCACAAAAAAGGCCGATTTCTAAAATGTCAACGGGCAACGCACTAATTTTGTTCTAAACATAAAAAAATATTTGTGAAGAATTGAGGTTAAAATTTTTTTTATTTACTGGTCGTTAAAAGTGTTTAAAGTAAATTGTCAAAAATATTAAAAAAACAACAAATGACTTAAACTATTTCATTTTTAGACAAATATCATAATTAGCACATTCAAATTATGATATTCTTAGTGCGAATTACAACTATTTAAATTTCAAAATTATAAGTTGAAAATTGGTTATGTAAGAAACCAAAGTTTGTAAGCAAAGGATTAGTATCAAATTAAGTTTAAAGATAACTAGTTAATTAATTTTTTTTTTTTACGTAATTTTACTGATCATTATGTTAATATTGAGCAGTAAAAACTTTTTTCGCTAAAACCTCTATTCGCATTTTTATAAATGGTAAATAAACGTTGTAATAAAAAATGTGTAATATGCTTAAAATAAAACAAAAATTATAATGTGGATACTTTATTTGAGAAATAATTTTATAATTTATTTATAGGGACATTTGTCTTCTACCATATTTGAATAACTTTTTGAGAAAAGTTAATAGGCAATAGAAATAGTATTTTTAGAATTTTATGGAAGTATAATATATGAGCTAATATTATTTTTTTTTTAATGGCAATTTGTGATAGTGTACGGTCCATTATAAACTAAAAATGAATTTAACATAAATTTATATTAAAGAATTAAAAGATAAATAATCAAACTAATTTTTTTTGTAAATGTTATCTTATCGCAACTTTAAAATGATTTTAATTTATTAAAATAACAATAATTATAATAAAGATTATCAATTATATTTATAGCTTGTAATGTCTTACATTTAAGACATTTATATAAGTTTTTATTTATATTAACACATTTATTTACTTAAAACCGCATTGATAAACTGCTATACTAGATTTTATTAGGAAATGATTATCAGTAAAAACTTGAAATTAATTTAAGTGTAAATTGTACAAATTGAGAAAATCTAATCAATATATTATCAATCTCGACCAACAAAAATTTTTGTTAATATCAAATTTTCTTAAATCTTTTTTTATGTATAGAACAAAATTAGGGCCCATTAAAATTTTGACGATCGACCTTATGTATATACTCTAATACAAAATCGTTAAAATAATACAGTGATTGAATTTAACCAATTTTTCTATTTTATATGGCATTATAAAAATATATCCGAAAGTTCCTAAGACAGTATGATATTTTCAATAAATGTATTTAATAAATCGCATATTTTTTTTAATAGTGCACTATAAATAGTTTTGTATTTTAACAGGAATTTCTTTATACTACTGTTGAAGTCATCTTTACTAGTTCTTTACATTTTATAAGTAAATAATTTAAAAATGAAATGATTTCCTGTAGCATATAAAAATAATAACTGAAAAACACGTAGTACAACATAACAGTTTACTTGATCCTTGTTGACTTAAAAATGTTTATCTCCTAAAAAAAGTATTCATAATGCCGCTGATCAAATTATGTACGTACGTCCCATGAAATATAACTTCGTCAAATAATATTTGAGCGACAAATAATGTGCACAATACTGAAAACGAAATAAACATGACGTCAATAGAAACATAATGTAAAGAATTAATAGAAATTACTCGTAACACAATGTTTAAAATAACTAGACAAAAAAGACTAGACTTTTTTTATTTATTTAATATAATTGTTGCAACATATGTTTTTACAATAAAAATAAATAATTATTTTTAATTAGAATTACGTGTAAATTTAATTGTGGATGCTATCGTCAAAATAATAATGATGATGAAAGTAATATGTCTTGTTACAGTCATGGCTTTAATATCCCATTTTTTGATTTTTATCAATTTTGAAATATATGACTCCTTCGTTTGAGTTGAGTTTTACGTTAAATTTTTTAAATTGATATTTTATCCAGACTGATAGATCTATCAGTCATTCATATTGACATAATTAACACATTTTAATGTGTTGACTGATACCAGTGTTGGTATGGAGTTGTTTATTGAACATTAACCAGAGAGGTTTTAGTGCTGTACTAAAAAACTTATTTTGTACAATTTGTAATTTTCCTACCTACCTATGCAGCCCATACTGGAAATACACATATTGATAAAGATTTTATTATAGCTGTGTAGAGTTGCAATAAAGTTTTCAATTGAAGTATTGAGCTATCGTTAACTAAAAGATATTAAATTTACATTCTTGTATATTCTTAGTTAATTTTATTGTTGGTAAAACATAACTTAGCTATAGGTTTAATTACTTAATTACTTATTGCTAGTTAAGGTTATATGTCTAAACGGATTAACTAATAAAGTCTCTTAATCTATTCCCTACAGGTTTTCATTTTAAAACTTCTAACACATAATTGAAAATTATACATAGCATATAAAATTTATAACTATTATATATATAATTATTCATTACTGCAGAAGAAAATTGACTGATTTTATATTTATATATTTCAATAAATGTCCAAAAATTACCCTAAAGTTATAACAGTTTTTGAAATAGTTACTGAGTATAATTAATGCTTCAGTAAAGCTAAAAATAATTGATCATCACAAATCCATAAAGGGCGAAAACTTTCTGATAAGATATAAATTTAAATATAATGTTTGTTCTTCTTTTACATACATTGCACAGAAAATTTTATTTTTCGATTTCGATAAGAAATTGATGTTTAAAAAAAATAAGATATGAATTTAAGGCAATAATTTTATATTATTAAGATATTAATATATCACAAACTAAATGCGCTTTTTAACTGCGTACATATTTATTCTTAAATACACAAAAAAAAACGTTCTACTGCACGACGACGTTTAATTTTGTCTTAGATAGTGCTGAAAGTTACATAGTGTTTTTTAACTTAGGAAGTATCGTAAAATTCGATATATATATATATATATATAAACATAGTGATTCTTTTAATATTAGCCACTAGATTTCTCTTAAAATAATAATTATGTTAAGAAAATGATTTTAATTATTTTTTAGTTTCACATATTTCTTAATTTATCAATTATTAAAAAATTTTTTAATTCATTTATTATACCATATAAAAATGTCAACTTATTATTTTTGATTATCTTATAAAATATAAAGTGATCTAATTAAAATATTGGCTGAACGATAATAACTTTTGACACGTTATTTTGGAAGTTATTAATATTTTAAAAATAGTGTAGAGGTAAAGTGTGGGTTATGTTATTTTTGTCATTACTCTACCGCATTCTTTTCCACTCTATTTAAAACTATAATTAACATTAACAAATTTTATAATAATAATAAAATTTGGAGGATTTAAATTATTTAAGTCATTATTATCGAATTTTTTTCTTCCATGAAATATGTGATTCATTAACGCCCATTTTGACATCTTACCCTAATGGTAAAATGATCAGATAGGGTTATGTTTAAGATAGCTGCGTCGAAAATGTTCCTAAAAAATTCAGTAATACTTTTTATTGTTATATTTATATTTTAAACCTCCGTGGTGAACTAACTGTAGTCTATTAAAATTGTCAAACTTTTATCGAAACATCCAGAAATTTGAAGCTTTAGAGCTAAAAGTATATAAAAAAAATGTTAATATTTTTTTAATTATAATAAATAAAACACTAAATAGTAGTTTGATTAAAAATAAAAGTTTGAAGTATACAGGCTTATAAAAATGGCACACGGAATGGTGTCACGATAAAACTCGGTTGTGCGCGAGCTGGTTTATTTTGTGAACTGGGTGATATTTTAGCTATGGGCTTGACACTCGAACCGGTAGAGGCGATGCATCACATGATACTGCATCAATGTTATGGTTGTACGCGATCGCTTCCGCCACTTATCTGGCAAGGGGCACTGTAGTAGACAGCAGTTGTTGCGCCAGCATTACAGATAACGCGCACCTTTTACTCAGTTCATATAGTATAAGATCCGTTACGCGCACACCGTTCAATTCATACGATAACTGTCAAGCGCTGCCGAGCAGACGATTGTACTCGATCGAACCTATTAGTTTATTGTCCACGGTCGTCACGTGTTGCGTTCGCTATTGAATTTTGACGACCAGTAGTGCGAATAATTATTATTTAAATAGTTAAGATAGCTTACTTTCCTTGACGTAAGGATTTATGATGTACATTAGAGTGACATTATCTAAAATAAAAAACGTAGTGTAATAAACGCGTACGCGCGCGCACGTATAGTACACACATGCACTCGACAAGAACCGGCAGCCGGCGACCTGACGTACCCCACGCACACGACTACGGGCAGGCAGTCAGCAGTCAGCGAGTGACGAAGCAGCCCAGTCCAGCAGTTGTCCGCCAAAACATGTCGGGTTCCAGCATGTGTTGCCATTTCGCGAGATCGGCCATCGTGGCCGTCGCTGCGTTGGCCTCGTGCACGGACGCTGCGACCATCGTGTTCAAAATGAAAGGTATGTCCATACATTATTTATGTTTGATTTCACCATCACTTTTTTTCTACCGCGCGAACCATAGCGATTTTCGACCTTATGTGTTTCCATCGTTGACTTGCTTTAATATTGTTTAATACCCCTCCACGTTAAGATCTAATATCTAACTTAGGTTGGTAATATTTTCATTATGAATAAAATCGTTATTCATTTAATTTTCATCGTCAGTGGAATATTAATGATGATAAAAAATAACGCCTTCATATTTTACGTTGATTAGCGACATTTTCAATTCGAATATCTCAATAGCCATAGGTCCAATTAGGACTTCAGTATGAAGAATCCGTTTAATAGCAAACGGACGTCATTGACGACCGCAAAAACAGAATAATAATCATACCAGGTTATTTTTTAATTCGTAAAAAAGTGATGTGGTGTAATAGCAATTAATCTGAACGACGGTTAATTAAAATTAAGAACGTACTAGTACCGCGGTGCAGCACTCGTCCGACAGTAGGATGTTCGTTTGTTCCATGTGTCGTTACTTGTTACTGTGAGTGACATGGCCGAGTCATTGTAAATCGTAACACGCGTATGCTCATTATGATCTCATTTATCACAAAGGTCATTGTATGTGTTTTGAAAAAATAAAACAATTACATTGACGTCGACAATGGCGTATTATTAATTTTTATCGGTTGGTCGTCAATTAAACCCTTTTGATGTCGTTATTGTTATTTTTTCCAAATAAAAAAACTAAACATTTTCAATTGTTTCTGGGCGCGAGCCACGTTTGCGAGGCGAATTTGACAAACAACAGCTCGACCAAATGTATTGAACGTTATTAGTATATGACAAATTTACCGTCAAAAGTTCATATGGTAATACATCTAATTGAATCTAACAATTATTTAACGCGCACTAGCTATACGATACGTTAGATGGGTTTTTTAGTAAAAAAATATATATATTTCGCTGTGCTCTTTGCAATTGTTATTGCTCGACTTGATTTATCCGAACACACGAAGTATCCGATTGCCATTGTCCTACGCGATAACCTCTTTGTTATACATAAAAAAACGAAATACTATATTACAATATTGAATTATTTCCCAAGATTTATCTAAAGCTCATACCTCGTGCGCTACGTGGTCGTTCGCACGTGTCGAAAGTTTAGCTCGTCCCGCTCCTCCTCCCGCCTCCTCTCTCTCAAACACTTGTGGCGTTGGTCTCGTTTTTCGTGTGTTTCCGGAACACGCCTTACTAATCCAACCAGACGGCTCACTCTCTTCTGTACCCATTTACGTTACATTCGTTGGGCTCTGTAGTGTTTTTAAATAGAATTGCGCCTAAATAAAAAAAAAAAACTAGTTTTCTTTTGGATCTTTTATTCGTTTCCTATTGAGAATTCTAGCCGATTGTACCTGTAGGATACGAACAGTACACAGCCAATGGCCTATCTTTGCTCTTGTGTCTGGATACACAAGCAGACATTTTGTAGGGTCGTTTGTTTTGTGTACGCTGAGCAATACGTTTCTTCAGTGTTATTCGAAACCTGTGTAAAAAAAAAAAAAACAATATTGTAATCATTTAGATATCGAAGCAGTTTTTCATTTTCGCTTGTACGACCTCGTGGTTTTCTCAACTTAAAAAACTAACTACACAGCGTATGATGTTGCGGTTGTATTCAAAGTAAAACGTTAATACCAATACATCATTTCGGTAAAGATTTTCATCTAAATCATATTGTAATCTTACAATTACACACATTTGATGGTCATGTCTTTGCGGTTTACATACTTAAACGTTGGTTTGCGGTTGTCTAGAGACACGTAGTACACGGCTGTTTGCAATTCTCGAAAAGCGCAAAAGTAATGCGATCACTTAAGTATCGATTCAATTTAAATTACACATGACGATGGTTGCCTTTTGTACGGCGAAGGTCGTTTAAATGAACGCGGTTTAATCTATAGCTTCTTTTTTTTCTCGTACCACGTGTCTGTTAGAATACCATAGGCGTTATTTAGTTCATTGTATTCATTTTTTTTTTTTGTAAAACAGACTGAACTAATTTATTTACTGTTCGATTGCACAATGTGACACAATGCGTTTGTTATGAATTTATAATTTTGGAATAATGAAACAATTACTGTAATGTAAATGTTAACCGGTTAGCCGAGTGCCGTAGAGACGCCATAGGCCATGATTACAGCCTATGTGATCATCTCGATGAAGTTGAAAAATAAAATTAACGCGTTCGTCGACTAGGTCGTGGGGTCGCCGACCTTTGTGATTGTATACATGTTAACCGTTGTCACATTTGTTCCCCATGTTTCATAAACTATTTAGTAAGTGTTGCAGTTGTTAATAATTGTTCCTTGTTGTTTTTCTGTTTTGTGTAGATAGCGCAGACATGGGTTTTAAACCTGCCAGAACAACAGTGCTGGCTGGAACCTCAGCCGCCGAAACACTTAGCGATATCAAAGGAAAATCTTCCTCCACTTCAGTCGAGGGAGGATTTAACTTCACGACAATTTCATTGAATGTTGCCAACAACGTATCTCACACTTTAGGTGAATAGCCATCGCTAGTTAATCGTAGAGACTCTATAGTGAGGAACTTAAACGTGCCGCTTATCACACGAATGGAATTTTTCTAGGGTCGAAAATCGGTAGTGCTAAGTAAAATGTGTACTGAACGCACGAACATATACTTATAAAGACGATCACGCTAAGTACAGACAAAGTGTGCGTGATTAGAGTAATTTTTTATTATATTATTTTTTCGCCGTCCTTACCATGGTTTTAATTAAAAATAAAAACAATAACGTGACCAATCTCTATTTCTCGATAATTACTTAGTTCTCTTTGAACGTCAACGGGTAATTAATCTTTGGTTAATTCTCTCGAGTATTGTACTACACAAAGTATTCAGAATCTTTATTTGTCTACCGTATCGACAATTTTATCACCGGCTTTGTGTGCGCACGTTCAAAACTAAATTTCATCTTGTGTGTCGGTCAAGATATGTTTAAATTTAAACCCGCGTATGTTTTCAATGTCTGTTATGTACACCGTAAAATTTATAATTATCTATCTAGTAAAACGCCGTCGACGTTGCACTGTTCATATTTACTTTTGATGTTTACTTAATGATTTACAAATAAAGGAAACGAATAGTCGGAACAAAAATTTACAAAATTATTAAATCAAACTTTTACCTACGTTAATAATAATGTTAATAATAATAATTTTTTTTTTAATACAATAACGTTAGTATGACCCCTAAAAGCGTAATGAATATATCCATGAATATTTGATTTTTGAATAAAACTGAAGTATTGTTTTTGGTGTAAAATAATAACATCCTTTTATCGGTATGATATTTCTCCTAATTTTTCTTTCGACAGACTTGGACATTAAGTGCTCAGACGTTATTTATTGTACAACTCGTTAATAAAAGTTAATTACTTATGAATGACGTTATTTCTGGTCTCATAAATATGACGACATATTTGTCTTAAAAACAATAGTAACAATTATTGATTAATATATTCATAAATACCCAATTAGTCAAACCGGTACATAATATACTTGAGTTTTTTTTATCATTATAGGAAAATCAAAAACAATGACATCGGTAATATTTGAATGATGCGTAATAAAAACCCGTTCATTTATTCAATTAATATTTTTATATATTGCCATTTACTCACGTCAAGTTTTCGCACGTGTGAGAGTTCTGTATAGGAAATAAATATTAACTTTGTTATGTAACCAAACACCGTGATGACATTTAATTTTACGGATTACTATTTATGTACTATTGTTTTTATCCTAATGAAATAGTAGCGACATAAACCAGATATTTTTTATTTTGATCATTTTATTTTTCTATTTTGTTGTCTATCTAACGAATTAATTTTTTTTTTTTTTTGTAGACCAAGAAGATCAGGATGGCATAACGGATGAAGACGCATTGTCGGCCGTGTGGTATCTAGCTGCTTTCGGTGGACTTGTACTGTTCTTCTTTGTGGTTACATGCTCCGAGCTGTTCTTCGGTAACCCTATCTATACACGTAGACCGGTCGAGCTACCTCACGCTGGCTACCTACGTCGACACGTTTACGGACTTCGAAATCAGGGGTACACGCCCGAGACGCCACCGCCGCCGTATCATTTATTTGCACCGCCCAGCTACGCGGACACCTTAAAGGGATTGCCGGCCTACGATTCCAGCAAAAAGTTGATCGACGTGTTCGTGGTACCAGTGCACGGAAGCGACACGGCCGTCGCATCACTTCAGTCTGCCACTAACGTGGTACCGGCCACAGCCGTCGACGACCGTAAGCAGATTGCCCTGACCAAATCCTAATCGACACTCAAATGTTGTACAGTGTGTTCTCCCCTCACCGAGCGAACGGAGCAGACGAAGCGAACATTACGCACCGACTGAGCGGACTCTCTCCCACGCCGGGAACACTCGTTTCCTTTGATCTCATTTTTTGTGCGGTGCATACATTACACATTATGTATTAAAAACGATTAGAACTTTATAAATAAATAAATGTATTTTTTGATTATTTATTACACGCTCGTGTGATGGCGTGTTAGACACTACCTATTTAATGATATAAATTTTTTTACTTTTAGTTCAACACAATTCAGATTTTGATATAATTTATTTATTATTATTTTCTTATATTTATTGAGCGTTATGATTTTTAACATTTTGTACTGTACTATTTTTTTAGTCGACGGTAAATTGTTATCATTATTTCATTTTTTTACGTAATTGTTAGTAATATTTATTATTATATTTTATGAATAATTTGTAAAGCGTCCTTTGTTTGGGTACGCTGGTGGTTACTTCTGCACTTGGTTTTTGTCCCGCAAAAGGATTATCAATTATTATTTACAAATATTTTATTACTTGTTTTATAATATTAAAGTATTGTCCCATTTGTTATTGACACAGGTTGATTAATCAGCCAATAAAAGACCCTGCCCCTTTAATTTGTATTACAATTAGAACTGTTAAATTTTTAATTACTGTTAGAACTTTTACTTGTTGTATAAACGGGTGTAATCCGACGAAAACCATTTGCGGATGCCCCTCCCCAGTTATTTAAAATAGTATCGTATCTTATGCTGCTACAGTCAGTGTAACATGATAATTATTCATTATAATAATATATAAATGTATTAATGTGTTATTTTCTGTATGAATTCTGTGTAAAATTTTATGTTACACGTATCGCTTATAAAACTGTATACAAACCGAATTATTTTTTAAATATATAATTACAATTATAAGTGTTAAATGTTCGGTCTATGTGAGTTGTACGAATATTTTAAGTGTATTTTATAAGTAGCCTATATTAGGCAAATTTTTGTATTAGTTCATTAAACGGTTACCAACACTCAATGTAGTCTTAATTTTTTAATTAGTATTAGTCTCCTTCGTTTGAGTTTTGTAAAAGAATACTATTTTCATAATAACTGTGTTATTTGTTATTGCAATCTTTAACGGTTTCTTAATGTTTCAAGAAGCATTGGTTTCTTAAAACTAATTAGTATTCAAAATGAGTAATATTATTCTCAGGAGCGTCATTTTGGGGGTGGCGACTTGGGTATTTGTTTCAGTCTAATTTTTAAGGAACAATAGGACCGGTCTTTCCTAATCTTGCTAACGGGCCCTTACTCCGAGCAAGCCCATTTTTCGCTAAGAGCCAATCTATAATAATCTAAGAAATGCAGTAAAAATGAATTTTTATTCAACAAAAGACACTATTTATCATTTAAAATACAAAGGATTACGATTTAAACAGTCTCTCTCATTGTCATCATAATCGGGTACAAAATTATTCAACTGTTAAATACAAAACATTGTATCAAACAGTCCAACTCTCAAAATACAAGAAAAAATATTACTTTGTTTATAATGTTTAAAACTTGGTTATTGACATACACTAAAATTGTTTATGTATAATTTTAAAACTTATAAACACACGTTTAAAGCGAAAATTCTGTTAACTGTACTTTGGTTCTGGCCACAGTTTTTAATGATATTTTTTATGCAATTAATATACAGTAGAACTCCAATTATCCGAATTAATGGGGACCGGGACCCATTCACTGACTAATCAAAACAAACAATGACAGGTGACTGCAATGCGCCGGAACTGGAGTGGGAACTCTTACCACGTGTTGTGCCTACACTGACGCCGCGGACTTTGGACAAATTTTTTTCTGATTTTTTCTGAAAGTGATTCGGATAATCGGCGATTCGGATGGTCGGAGTTCGGATAATTGGAGTTCTACTGTATGTATATATAATTTTCTTTATGACTCTAAGTTTTTTTATAGAAAACTCTTTGACCATTATTTAATTATTATCGCCGAAATGATTTTAGAAAAACTTCTATATGATAATTTTTATATTAGCTTATATTATTATTATAAGTATAATAGATTTGATTTGTTAGTAAATGAACCATTCGCTTCGTTCATGGCTTTGTGAAATGATGATAAAATGAAATGCAAGTAAAAAATTTGCACCATTCCAAGGCTGTTAAATTTTAAAACATCAACGATTTCAAATTTACATCTGTCTAATGGGATATTTTAAACGTTTTAAACTGTATACTTATATCTCAAACAAGTTTTTATTTTTGAAAATGTTTTCTAACAATTCTGTCTGTTGTACAATTTGAAATGACACTTCTGTTTGTACGTCAAACTCGGAAATGTTAAGATAGAATTATTTTTTTATTTATAGTCAGTAACAAATAAACTATTATTTACATAAGTGTTATTAGATTTTTTACTATCGTAGTAATAACAATTAAATTTTAAGATAAGGAATAATTTATACAGTAGGTTAAGTTTTTATTACATGGGCCATTAATAAAAAGTATTTAGAGTACTATCACATTAGAGCTCTTGCGTCGCTATTTAACCCCTTCACACTATGATACGCACAATGTTTCACTGCTAATTTGGGACTTGGAAATATTTTTATAAATTATTTAGTCGATTATTTGTTTATTTTCAAATTAAAAGTCTGCTGTAAGGTTATTTTCGCTAGATATCATTAATGTAAAATAAAATGTATTATTTATTTATTATTCACACCTATATTATAATTATATAATAATAACAATTATTATTATATTTTATAACTTTTTTAAATTTCATTTTGTATTTTATAAGTACAATTTAACAAATAAATTTCGTATGAATTAAATAAATACTATGGGAAGAGTAAGTCTTACGTTAAAGTATTATTATATAATTATAATATAACTTTTTTTTTTTATTTCAAAGTATAGATTATCAATGCAATGCCAAAATAATTGCAGTTGCTGATGCTTTTAGTTTATCGAATTCACCAAGAGATGATGTTGAGTACACATTTTTATTGCTACCCCTCAAAACACTGGTCTTTTTCGAATGTTTCCGGGATATAAAGATGTATCCAGAAAATTTTTTCGAATGTCTTCGAACTCATTTAATGAACTATTAAATAAAATTCAAATATATATAACAAAACAAATGACCTCATTCAGTGTACCAATTTCTGCTGAAGAACGATTGAGCCTTACCCTCAAAGAACCCTAAAATATTTTCTTCATATTCTTTAATCTTGTAAAAGTGCGGAAACATATGATTTTTGTTATATAAAGTAATTCATAGATTTCTAAACAAGTAACAGTAAGAATTATGTAAACATTAAATGACTACATAAATACCTAATTGTTGTACACTATTTTTTTTTGACAAGAAAATTAAATCTGTAGTAACTTTTAAAGCAATTTATTATATAATGAATACTTAAGTATTTAATGAAATCAACTGTTTATTAATTAATGTCAGGTTAAAATACAGTTTTTATTGTGGGCAATTCAAATTTAAACAGTTAATATATGTATACAAACAAATTAAAAACAATGAATAACGTTGATTATCAGATACAAAAGTGATATTAAGAATACAATAACCTTTAGTATAAGTTATCTATGTTATGGTGTGTCCTGTGGTATTTTTCTTGATTGAAAATAGTACGATTTAAGAAAATAATCAAATGTATGATTCTTTTATGGATAATAATTGAATTTATTCTAAAATGTGTAAAAACTTAGAAATATACTAATTATTTATATATTTTATTATGCTTATTTATCGAAAATGTGAAAGACACTTCTCTTTTGTAACCTTTTTACTTTGGTACAAATTTTACTAAAATTCCTTAAATTACTTTGATTAGTAGTTATAAGAGCCAAGAATTGTTTTGATTAGTAACTTGGCGAAAATCATCAAATGTCCAGATATCACCGTTGTTGAGAAAATATTCACATTATATAAGAAAATTATAATTAACTTTTAAAGTCATTTTTGAGGAAAACGTAATCTTGAAATTCTGAATCAAATAATTTACTTATACATAGTGTGTGAGGGTATGGTGTGGCCGTGTCGGTAACGCGGTGGTGTTTGACGCGCACTGTCTCGGGTTCGAAACTCGGTCACAGATGGCTTCATTTGACGAACGAAAAGTCAGTTCGGTAATTGGACTCGCCATCCCTTTTTCCGGCGACCGACTAACTATCCGTCTCGGAATATCAATGGTTAAGAAACCTCCTCCTTTTGGGGAGGCCGCTATAGCCCATAATGGGCTTAAAAGGCGTTAAAAAATATCTATATAGAGAGCGCTTAGTAATTAAGGAACGGATTTCTTTTGTTCTCATTTTTTGTAACAACTGACCTGTTTATTACTTTTTGAACACTTTGTATGTTTTACCTACACATACTTTATACAAGTATAATAAATTATTTTAAATCCATTTTGCCAGATACCAATAAATTAATTTTAAAAAAAATCGTAGTTAAATAATGTAATAATAACATTACTAAAAAAGATTACGTGTTAATTTTTATTCTTTTTATTTCTCAACATATAGATATCTACTGGAAGTACATTCGTGTCTTTACAGTACGAATATTTTTTGGGTAGAGGTAACGATTGTTCCCCGAGACCTGTCAAATTATTTGGAAGATACGACCAGAATGATTGGCTATTCCAAACTCGTATAATTGGCTGAATATAGCCGAAAAAATTTACTGGAAAACGAATTTTCCCAATTGTCTTGGGACATTTGATGGTAAACATTTCAATGTATTAATCCAAACCCCACAGGCTCATTGTTTTTCTATTAAAAAAAATAATTTCCCGCGCTCCTAATGACTTTATTGGAGTCGAAGTATTATTTTACTTTTATTGTTATCGTTGCGAAGAGAATTGAGAGAAGGGGACTCGACAGTTTTTAATTATAACGCTTTTGATCAAAAATTATATTCCGAGATGTTAAATTTGCCAACTCCGATTTGTTTACCGAATACAGAAAATTCTTATCAACCATTCGTTTTTGTAGCTAATAAAGCTTTTGGGCTGCACAAGAATTTCCTTAGACTGTTTACGGGATGTAACTTAACCAAAAGAAGACAGGTTTTAATTACCATTTATCCAGAGCCAGGAGATTAGTGAAATGCGCCTTTATTATTTAAGCCAATAAAAGGCGAATATTTCACTCAATAATTTTGGTACAGTCTAATTTTCTAGATGATATAAATAAGGCTTGTTCCGTTCTTCATAATATTGTTTGGAAGTGGGACAGCTATAAGTCTGACGACACATTATCAAATGATTTAGAGGACTATCAAAATACCTCTGCATCCGTAAAGGGATTACTGTGAAAAATTATTACGCTGCCTGTTTTATAAGTTCAGCAGGACCAGTTGCTTTTCAAAATAGATACATATAAATCTTTTATTAGAATTATTTTTCATACAATTATGCATTTTTATTCTTATTTCTACGCTGTTTCTGATGAAAAAGACATTTTATTTGAACACATTAATATATTTCATTTATTTATTTGTATGTATAATATACATTATAAATATATATATATATATATTAGGGTGAATAAAAAAAAGTCGATCTTTGAAATTTTAATGAGAACCATTTTAACTTTATTTTATACATTAAAAGGCATTTTATGAAAATTTGAGAGTTTTAAAAAAAATTTTACTGGTGGCTTAACGTGTTTTTAGTATTTTGACCAAAAATATCCCTAAAAACGGCCTCTGTTATTAAATTTTTTGTCAAATATTATGATTAGTATGTCAAAATAGATTGATTTTTACTGTAGAATACAAATTTTTTAGTTTCAAAATTTTATGTCAAAAATTGATAACATGGATATCATAATTAACGTCATTATATGGTACATTTCTAGTGGGTCTCAAGTAAGCTTAAAGTTGTTTTTAGTTTTTTTTATATAAAGTTTGGATGATATTTATGTATATTATAAGTAGAAAAAATATGAATAAATAACGATTGTCTTTACATACTTTTCAAATATTTTT